AGCACATGCAGTCCCATGCAGGTAAGCTGGGCACTTCAGTTCTGTGCTGCTGCCTGATGCTCACCCCTTTGTGTGTCAGTCTCTGTGCTCACCATTTCCAAAGCCCCAGTAACCTCATCTGCAGCAGAAAAGATCCTCAAAGGCTGGAGCACGTAGCAGTGGCTGACAGTGCAAGGCTCAGGGCATGCCATAAACCTCACTTCCTAGGGAGAGAGGAAATGTGCCATGCTAGCATAGAGCACATTACACTATTCATTCCCTTTATCCAACAAAATCTAGGGCACACTCAGTGCGTAAGCATTTGCAGGTCACTCCTACAGCAGATTAAATCCCTTCTGCAAAAAGGGTAGTTCTCATGGGAGCAAACAAAGCAAAACTGCTCGCAGGGCAGCAGAGCCTTTGCCCACACAAGTCCCTCTCCATGCCTGTGTCTCCTGGAGTTCTGCGAAGGACTGAAATGTGTTCCCAGCAGAAGAATTTGCTGTCTCAGCAGTTGTGTTCATTTCCTTCTCAGCTATCTACAAAAGAAAATTCCAAGGAGCAATTCCTCTGTGTTGTTTCTGAGGCACCTTTTTTGTTTTCTATCTCAGTACATAAGAGGTGACTTTAAAGTCTCAAAGCCAAAGCTGTTTCAAAGGCAGCATTCAGAATATTCAAAACCATAGGAACAAGGTATTTTTATAGTGGCAGAACTTTGTCGGTTTTTGACTCTTGAATGAAAATGCAAGTGAGTTAACACAGGTTTACAGATCAATTCACCTTTGACAGGCCTGTGTGCTCCAGACGGCTCTCTGGAGCAGCAGACGGCTGCTCTGTTGAGATTCGTGTTCAATGCTTGTATCTGCCCTCATGTTACAGGTAAGCCCTGAGCAGAGTGGCACAGGAGGATGAGTGGCTTGAGGATAGGCACGTTTTCCATTCTGTAACAGTAATTCTAATCAAAGTTCTTAATCTTGTTCTGTGATTTTGATAGTGTCCCTTGAGTTCTTCATCCATACAGTTCCTCGGTTCCAGTTCAGTTCTCATTGGCAAACCTTAGTGCAGGCTTTGTGTGTTGCTCAGCAGCTTTTCTGTCATCTTTGTAATGTAATGAAGAAACATTCAGGGTAATATGAGATGATGCGAGCATAAGCTGGTTGATGTGGAGTAATTGGACTTCATGTTACAGCTAGGAGCAGTGCAGCTCCTCTCAGAGTAGTAGCTGCCATCACTCCATGGTGTTGGGTTCTGCTCTTGCTGTTCGTCTCTGGCAATTCTTGCTTGCCTCCAGGCTGTGTCCTGAGCATCCTGTTCCTTCTTCTGGTCTCTGGTACTGAAATGCAGCATTTTGAAATGCAGCTCCTGATGAGGCTGAGTAGAGGAGCTGCAAAAGAGGGCTTGGGCTAGTGTCAAAAGAGGGGATGGCACTTCACTAGCAAGATGTGAGCTGTTGAAAACTTTAAACTAGTGCTCTCTGCAGTTTCTTCCTTCTCTTGGCCATTGGGCTTGTTCACCTGGGTCACTTTGGACACAGAAGGTGGCTGGAGGGGCAGGTATCTGTGATCTGACTCGTAACATTAGCAGGGATACATTAATGCTTAAATCCTCTCTCCCCAGCTCTGGATTCCTCTCGTTAAACTCCCTTTTCTCATCTCTCCCTGGTTTGTTTGTAATTTGTTATCTTCTGCTTGGCTGCTTCCTCCCAAATGTCTCACTGGTGCAAAGACAAGAAGACACTTGTCCATATCTTGTGTATTCAGCACATTCTCCAGGCATCCCAGAGGCTGCGGCTGTGGAAGCAGCCATCCCCGTCATGGCATCTCTGTGTTGATGCCTCCAGTCCTGTACTCCTGCCTCCTCCCTGGGGGGAGCAGCACCCTGTCCTCCAGATCTGTGCACTGGGGGCAAGGAGCATGGTACTTACTGCTCTGGGGTGAGAACAGAACAAAATGAAGAGGTGTGAAAGCTGCAGCGAGCTCTGGTGGGTTCTGGATATTGTACTTTAGCAGAGCAACAGCAGAGATCACACAGGGTTTGCAGTTAACTCTGCTGGCAGTTTGTTGCCTTTCAACCTGTCGGGGCATGGGGATTTCCATATCCAAGAAACAGCATTGTCACACCTCTGAAATCTGGGAGTGCAGAGACCTTGCAGTAGTCAGCAGAACTGGTGGCCCAGGGTCATCCACATACTGGGCACACTGACACAGTAGCGGTTTATACCAGTCCATATGCCTGGCTCAAGGAATGTTTCTTTATGGGTATGCCAGGTTGGATGGGGCTTGGAGCAAGGTGCTCTAGTGGAAGGCATCCCTGCCCGTGGCAGGGGTTAGAACTGGATGAGCGTAGGTCCCTTCCAACCAAACCAGTCTGTGATTCTGTGATTCCATGCAGAGATACAGAAAGCCTGTATGGGTCAAATACTCTTTCAGTTAATGTGTTCAGGCATCCAATTTGGCTTATCATGTCTGGTGCAAAGGGTTCATCTCTTCCAACTAAATGTGATGCATCTACTCAGCCTCTCGGAAGTGTCTGAAGCTGTTGGCCTTGAGGAGCAAAAGCAGGGATGTTCTGGCTCTGGAGTCACTCAGAGGGTTGAGCCTGGGGCTAGAAGGTAATAAGGAGAGATTATAGCTCCATAAAGCAGCTACACAGTGAGGAGAAGCAATTAGAATGTAAATTGGATGCTGAAAGGCAGAAATAGAACAGCAGAACACCAGGCAGAGGAATTTGTTCTGTAATTACACTGTACAATATACAGCTTTGACTCCCTTTAGAGTACTTTGTTCAGGTCGAGTGCTACCGTATAATGCCCTTTCTACAATCTAGAGCTACAGAATAGAAGGACGACTAGGCTGAACCTGGATTAAAGGATTGGAGGCATGAAGAGAAATTAAAGAACCATGATCTGTGTAGTTCACAGACTACCTGATAAGGAAGATGAGGCTGAAATACACAAATCTCATTAATGCCATATTGAATGCCAGCAGATATTTGTACGTAATAAATCCCCTATTAATATGAAACAGATAAAGAGTTAGGGGAGGAAATAGAGAGGGTTTCTTCCCTCACCCCTCGCTAAGACAAGGGCAGCCTGAACCATGAACAAAGTTAGGAAGCAACATCTAGCATTTTCCTTTGCCTGCCCACGGATGTTTGGAGTTGAGGATACTGATGGTGGTAGCTCAAGAGCAATTAGTCTGGGGAGATGCTGGGGGGAAAGTGATGTGTCATATCTAATCACTGGCAGTCACTGGAGCATCTCCTGCTCTTCAGGTCTCTTCCTCATCTGCAAGGATGGACCTCTTGCTGCAGTCTGAGCGTGGCAGTGCTCCCCAGGTACCAGCCATGACCAGTGGGTTCCCTGGGTTCATACAGTCCTCGAAGCAGTCCCAGAGTCACCCCTGGTTTGTCATGTCCTGAATCTCCTGGTGTTCCAGACTGTGGCCAAGGCAGTGCCCAGATGGAATAACGGTGCACTCTGTGAGTGTTCATCACAAGGTTTGTGAATGCCCCAGCAGTGAACATGCAGAGCTGCTCAAATCTGAGAGGACTTGCTTGTAAGGAAGAGAGCACTGGAGTTCGTCACATCATTGCTTGTCTCTAGATCCTGGCTGGTCTCCCTTCTCTTCTGGGTCACTGCCACACATGGGGAGCAATTTTATCCTCTCCAGTTTGTTCTGAAGGGCAGCCTAGTGTTGTGCCCAGCACCAGATTGACTTGGGCTGCAGAGCAAAGAACCTGTGTGTGCCTTAACAAGGCATTCCTGTAATTCCTGCTGTGCTGTCAGGAGTGCTGGGAAAGGATTTATTTCATTGAATCCTGATGTGCTGGTGTGCCTAGGATGTAGTTACTGCTGCCTGAGCTGGTCAGTGTGGACTTCCTGGAGAAGAAGTCATTGATTCCAGGTGAGTTTGGACCATGATGGATCTTGTACTACAAAAGGCATCTATTCTACCTGGGTGAATAATCGAATGAATCACATTGTTAAGCCTGTTTTGCACCACTGAGTGTAAAAAGAGCCCTAAGGGGCTACTTTGCAGCCTTTGTGTGTCTATCAGAGATGTCCAGAATTAGGCAAGATGACTACATCTGTGATGAGTAAAGGGCCTGTTTTGTTTTCTTTGCGTTTAATTCCATCCTTCTGTTCAGCCTGGTCATCAGTCTCTCCATCTTTCTCTTTCCTCTTCCACCTCTCTTCATTGTGCACTCTATTGCTGCTTCAGAGTCTACAGAGCAGTTTCATAGTGAAGCATACTAAGAAACTAGAAAGTTTCCTGTAGAGGGTGGAGAGAAGTTCTTGGGGCACAGGGGAGGAAAGGACATGGATACAATACAGGATTTACTGATTCTGCATTTCCTTGAAAGATCCCAGCAGGTTGGCAGCCAAAGTGTTTAGCCCTTAGCCCACTTACGTATATAGAATTGGGAGCATCAACCCAGAGACCCTGGAGCAGTTGGTATCTTTGCAGTCATAGGGAGGGACAATCTTTGGTCACACTCCAGGAACCTGGGGGGGTTTCCTTCTTGTTTCCAGTCTAAGGCAGCAGAGAGCAGCCTGAGAGGAGGTTCACCTCAGCAGTGAAGAACAGGGAAGCCACCTGCAATGCAGAAAGGGCAGTGAGGCAGAAGGATAAATGTTTGTTACACCCCCTTTCATTTTGAAAGCAAGCAAATTGCACAGGTCAGGCTGCACAAGGACCATCTAGTCCTGATGTGCAGCTCCAGTTACGGGGAGACATTTTTCCGTGAGTGCTGAGTGCATCTATGCCACTGATGCACAGAATAAGCCCTTGTCATGCAGCCCCATTTTGGGAGTCCACAGGCTTTGAAAGGTTTCTGACAGTACTGTGCCAGCTCAGTGGCAACTGCTTAAAAGCTACAGAGAATGTAGTAGATTGTTGTGACCTTAAGTGAAGGGGACCAGAAATAAATGCTATGCAGATGGATACTGTTTCCCCTTCTTTGTGCTTTAAGCCTTATTACCTTGTGCGTCTAACACCTCCCTGTCTCTTGCCCCGCAGCTGACAACGAGAACAATATTGCCTCTAGCCAGCCCAGATCACCTCTAGCTGTTGTAGAAGAGAAGTGGAAACCCCAGCTCCAAAGAAATAATGTCAACAACAGTAAGTAGCAGTGTTTGCTCTTCCATCCTGGGCTTTCCTGTCCACTTGGAACAAGTGACTGTCAGGGTGCAGCAGTGGTGGGCATTGCACAAGGCTCTCATCTTGCCTAAGTGCACTTGATTTCATCCCTAATTCATGTACTCCCCTGCAGAGCAGAGCACCCATTCCCATTGCAGGAGGGCTCATACGCAAAAAGTTCTGTGAGCCGTGGGGAGGTGGTTGGAAAGGTTTGTAGGGAAGATGCATTTGGTAACTCCTGGAAAAAGTTAACTTCTAAGCCAGGGTCAGAATTCCCAGGCCCAACCTGGAGATGAAAGACTAGTCCAGTTGTCATGGTGTGACATAGGCATAATCTGTCAGTCCCTGTGCTAGCAGGCAGCCAGGGTCTGATTTATCCCCAGTTCATCCTCTGAGCTTCCCCACAGAAAAAGGTAAAATACAGTCCTGTAGGAAATCAGTTCCAAAGCACCTGAGCTGAGCAGCCTGGGGGAAGGGTGATACAAAAACATGGGGCTTTTGTGTGCTGGTATGGCCAAAAATGACATTCACATTGCCCGAAATCAACCACAAATGTGGGGTGTTGGAGTTCAGAGGAGAAAATGGAAAGTGGAGCTCCAGCACTGCTGGAGGTGGTGCAGGAAGTTGTATGCTTCACTGAAAGGCTCAGATGACAAACTAGGGAAGATGTCCAGTTTTCCAGCTGGGCTAAGCTGTGACCACCAGCCCTTAGACATGGATAGCAAATGGCAGTCATGATTATAACTTAGGCACTTCCTCAGTGAACACCACAGGGATGGCATTGGTTAAGGCACTGGATTGTGAATAGATAGTGTGTGCTCTGTCTCAGGCCCCACACCAGGGACAGCATGCAGACAAGCCCCTTGCTGCTCCAAGCAAAGAGCAAGGCCTGTCCCTTTGCTGAACAGAAGGGTTCCTCTGTCCAGAAATCCTTGGGGGAAGAAGTCCATGTTGGAGATGTCTCTACCATCATCTGGGCATGTTCTGCCTCTTTGGGTCTCTGAGAACTGTTTTGTGACTCCCTCCTCTCTCCTGCTGTAGAGGAGCAATGCTCATCTGGTGCTTTCTCTCCCTCCTTGTATTTCACTGCAGCGTCCGCGAGCGGTTCAGTAGGGAACAGCGCGATCCCGGAGAAGGAGCGGCAGAACATTGCCGAGAGGCTCCTGAGGGTGATGTGCACTGACCTGGGGGCTCTGAGCGTGGTGAGCGGGAAGGAATTCATCAAGCTAGCACAGACCCTGGTGGATAGTGGCGCTCGCTATGGTGCCTTTTCCGTCACCGAAATCCTTGGCAATTTCAACACACTGGCTCTGAAGCATTTGCCTCGGATGTACAACCAGGTGAAGGTGAAGGTAACCTGTGCGCTGGGCAGCAACGCATGCCTGGGTATTGGCGTCACTTGTCACTCACAGAGCATCGGCCCCGATTCCTGCTACATCCTCACAGCTTATCAGGTGGAAGGCAACCACATCAAGAGTTACGTCCTGGGAATTAAGGGTGTAGACATTCGAGATAACGGTGATTTTATCCACCACTGGGTCCAGAACGTGCTCTCAGAGTTTGTGATGTCAGAGATCAGGACAGTGTATGTCACAGACTGCAAAGTCAATTCCTCTGCGTTCTCCAAGGCAGGCATGTGCTTGCGCTGTTCAGCCTGTGCCTTGAACTCAGTGGTGCAGAGTGTGCTCAACAAGCGAACACTACAGGCCCGCAATATGCACGAAGTGATCGAGCTCCTGAATGTCTGTGAAGATCTGGCGGGATCCACAGGCCTCTCAAAGGAGACTTTTGGCTCCCTGGAAGAGACCTCCCCCCCGCCCTGCTGGAACTCGGTCACCGACTCCCTGCTGCTCGTCCACGAGCGCTACGAGCAGATCTGTGAGTTCTACAGCAGGGCCAAGAAGATGAACCTCATCCAAAACCTGAACAAACACCTGCTCAGCAACCTGGCAGCTATTTTGGCTCCGGTGAAGCAGGCGGTGATAGAGCTGAGCAACGAGAGCCGGCCCACCTTGCAGCTGGTACTGCCCACCTACGTCAAACTGGAGAAACTGTTCACTTCCAAAGCTAACGATGCTGGCGTGGTCAGCAAACTCTGCCACCTCTTCTTGGAGGCGCTGAAGGAGAACTTCAAAGTTCATTCGGCACACAAGGTAGCCATGATCTTAGACCCTCAGCAGAAGCTGCGGCCCGTCCCACCGTACCAGCATGAAGAGATCATTGGCAAGGTCTGTGAGTTGATCAATGAGGTGAAAGAGTCCTGGGCAGAAGAAACAGAATTTGAACCTTCAACCAAGAAGCCTCGGTCAGCAGGGGAAGCCACAGCAGCTCAGGAAGAAGATTGGTTTGGGAAAAATGAAGTCTATGATTATTTGCAAGAACCTCTCTTCCAGGCCACCCCTGACCTGTTTCAGTACTGGTCATGTGTTACTCAAAAGCATACAAAACTAGCCAAGCTAGCCTTTTGGCTCTTAGCAGTGCCTGCTGTTGGTGCCAGAAGTGAATGTGTAAATATGTGTGAGCAGGCTCTCTTAATCAAAAGGAGACGGCTACTCAGTCCAGAAGACATGAACAAACTCATGTTTTTGAAGTCCAACATGCTTTAAGACTTTTAATTAAAACAAAACTTTAAAACACTGTTCCAAACAAAGAAAAAAAGAATTTTAAGTTCTAAACACTGTGGACCTCATTATGAATGCCCCTGGAAACCAAGTGCTTTTTTATATATATATAAAAATATAAATATATATAAAATTAAGTTTGAAAGGAAAGCTGAGCACGTGAGAGAGACAGCCCTCTGCCAGGAACGTGCTCCTTTCCCTAGATAGTGTGTGGACTTGACAGACTTTCTAATGTTTTCAAGTGGGCAGACGAATGGGAGGCTGATGTTCTAAAGTCTTCAGGCAGCTGAGATCTAAAGTGACTTGAAGTTTCTTTTGTTTCTCCTCCACCCCACCTTTCCTCTTGTCCCCTGGGCCATCTTGCCATGGATAATCAGACTACATTGAACAGACCAGTTCTGCACTGGACTTTGCTCCTTTGAATAACTGTACACCTTGAGGGCTTTTGTCTGCAGCCTTCTTGACACACAGTGCATGTTGTCAGGGCAGCTGTGTTTTCTGAACACCAGTGTCTTTAGAAGTCAGGAAGGGAGACTGCAAGGGTTTATTTTACTTTAATTTTAACTTTTTCATACACTTTTTTTCCAAAAAACAAAAGTTACTCTTCTGTCTCCACTCCCAGATTTAACACCTTAGCTAATGATTCTGATTTAAACCTAAGAGAAAGGGTTCATGGCAGAAAATGGCTGTAACTCTTATGTTTCTTGGATTTCTTTTTTTACAGCATGGTTTGTTCTCTGAATTCCCAGTAATGAGCTTCTCTGAATTTTGGACTTCAGGCACTCTCAGACTTGTTCTAGAGTAGCCCATTTGCGATTAAATAATATCCTTATGGGGAAGCACAGCAGTTGTTAAGATGGCAAAACTAGAAAACAGAAAAAGCAAGCAAGTAGTGACAGCACAGCGCCCTGCGGGCCACCAGCAAGCTTGTCAGGGTCTGCCAGCTGCCATTGAGAACCCTTGTACCTAAACCTGTAGTAGAAAAGCTTGTCAACACACACGACTCAAAACAGCCTTCACAGGGCCAAGGACACACCAAGGTGTATGAGTTTTCAGGGGAGCAAAGATCATGTTTTGTCAAACTGGGGTTTGAAGGAGGCTTAGAGAAGTGCATGGGCTCAATGATCCTTCTGAATGTAAGTGCTCCTGATTGAGTGCGAAGAATATCTTCCCATTTAGTTTGGAATGGTTTCCTCTTGTAGCACGAATGTCTTTTTGATACCTACAGTGCATTACACTACTTGTTATGTTGCTGAATCGTTCTGGCTAGGAAGGCCACAGGCCCTTAAAAGTTCACACTTACTGGCTCACCCCAAATGCAATTAGAGATCATCATAACACAGAAACATCTCAGTCACTCTGCTGGTCATGAGGCCAGCACTCTGCTGTGTCCAGTGCCTGTAGGCACAGTCCGTGGGTGGCTGGATGGGGTCTCTGCTGTGAGGTTTGGTGCCTCTCAGACAATTCCTAAATTCTGGTGCCAAACAGTTAATTTTTCATCCCTGGGACTTGTATCCCGGAGGCAAATTGAAGCAAATTCTTACTTTTGAAGTAGTCTCTCCAATTCCAGTAGTGTCCCCTGGGGCTGTGGTCACAGTGGCCACAGAGCAGCATTGGGCTCGCTGCAGGCTGGAGCCCTTCAGCAGCACAGGGGGTTTCTGGTTGCTGACAACACAGTGTTGAGACTGGGGTCCCCATTGAAGTGCTGCTATTGGATAGTTGTTAAACCAAGATCCCACCTGCCAAAACCAGGACAGAACAGAAGGTGCAAGTCCCAAGACATGAGAAATGTCAAACGCAATCTCTCAGGCTTTGTGTGCAGATGCCTTGAACCTGACAGGCACTGACTGATTCACTGCTATGGGGCTCAGGCAGGGGAACAGGTTGCATGCTGGAGACCATCCCTAGGTCAGGGTCACTGAGGATGGCTCTTTGCACCCAGCTCTTACCCTTTTCAGCCTAGAAATGGGACCTACTGTTGACTTGAGTCTAGCCTTTGGGTTGACCTCTCAGCACTGTTACTGGCATCAGGGCAAAACTTGGTGTCTCCTAAGTGTAAGTCTTATAAGAGAGTCTGAGCCCCGCTGGCAGCTGCAGTGCTGGAGGGCAAGCTGCCAAGGCTGAGGCACTTGGACATCTTATTTCTCTGGCAGTGGCTTTTGCCGATGGAGGTGTTCTCTTCTTGCTGGTTTTATTTCCTCCCATACAAATCCTGCCTGCCCAGTACCAGCTGGACCTGTCATAACACATCTGTTTGCATTGGCAGTGCAGGAGAAACCTATAGCAAACAATAAGTAAGTCTCAAACTACAAACAAAAAACCCTAAGTGAGATGCGTGCCCATTACAAAGCATTTGTGCTGTGCTGCTGGTCCCACTGGAAAGCACAAGGTATCCTGCAGCAGGGAAGCTTGGCTGGAGGATGAATCCAAAGCAAGATGGGGCTACAAAGTGTGTGCCATGCGGCTCAGCTGTGGGCAGAAATGGGGACAGGATGTGTAGTTCTTTCTCCTAGTAGCACTTCCATCTTTGTGCTTGGTTCACCTGAGAACCACTCACAGGCTCTTTGATGCTCAGGTGAATGTGCAAACCCCTTGTGTTCCTTTGCAATGAAAGCTCCGAACCCCAACACTCCTTTGTTAAGGGACAGGCTGGTAACTTCTGTGGGATTTGTCAGCTCAGGCTTGTTGTGTTGTCTCTCTGCAAGGCATTAAGGGTGGGAGAGTGGACAAAGCAGAGTTAGCCCAGTTTTAGAACCCTGGAATTGAGGAGGAGGTAAAACTGCAGCCGTTTGTGTGAGCATTTGGTGCCAGGCTGAGCACAGAGTGAGCCAGGGTGTGCACACAGGAACGCCGCAGCCACCCTCAGCTCCCAGCCCATCTCCCTTCCCCTTCCTACAGTGTGGTTTGGGTGTCAGATCTGGAGTTTCCTTGCTGTGACAACCAAAGAGAGGGACTGAGTGGCCCTCTCCCCCATCCTAGTAACTGCTCCCTCTCAGGCAGCTTTGGTTATAGTTGCACTAATGATGGCTCTTGAGCAAACACACAGCAGTGCCTGGTAGATGAGGTTCTTCCAAAGACTTAAAACCTCATCTTAGCAGCTAAAATGCAAGATAAAACCTAAAGCCCTAAAGTGGAGCAATCTGGAAAGGTGGTGAGGAGCTTGCCCCTTCTCCAGGGACCTGGTGGAAGAAGCTGCAGATTTTAATGAGTCTTAAACACGGTTACAGGGTGTGGAGCTCAGAGGAGCTGTTCATGCTGTGTCTGCTCACAGGCTTTGTTCAATGTACTTCATTAAAAGGGGAGAAGCACATCTGGAGCACATCTCTTTATCCTAGATGCCAAGTTTTTGTTCCTATTTCTCTTTTCTGCTCATTGGTTTTGCATTCTAGGGAGCATAGATACTTCACCCAGGTTTGAATTTTGGAAGCTCTTAAACTTTCCAAGTTACTGCAACCCAAACTGTTCTATTGTTTGATTCTATGCTCGCTCGGTGGCACGGAGCAACACTTCTGCCTTAGGAGCATTGCCTTTCCTGGGGTGGGAGATGGAGAGGAGAGGAGAGGGTCTCTTTGTTCAGCAGGGGTGTCATGAGCTCTCTTTGAGTTGGAAGGAGAAGTCCTCAGAATTGGGATCATCGTCTGGTGGGTCATGCTGGCAATTTGCCTTCTCCTTGTTTCCTTTACTCACACTTGGGGAATGTGTTGGGATACAAATGGTGTATGTGTTCTCCAGGCATTCATTTATTTCTGCTGCTTACTCTGTGCCTGACCTTACAGACTTCTCTTTCTGAACTTGACAGTTTGCTTTGGGAGGGGTTATGATCTACACATGGGGAGAAGATGAACTGTAAAGAATGAAGGGCTTTCCAGGCCTGTCTGAAGATCCTTGTGGATCCTTAAGAAAGTGGTATACAACGGCAGAGCTCTTCAAAACAGAAGCTGTTTCTGTGTGAGTGCAGCAGCCAGGGAGGCAGTGGAGAACACGGAGCCCAGATTAGTCTCCCGTGTCTGTCTCTTCTCCCCATGTCTCCAGCAGTTGTGTTCTGGCTGGCACGATGGGCTTGGTGTCTTGGCTTGGGTTGGTTTCAGATGGAAGCGAACTTCCCTTTTGTCAAAGCTCTGCTCTAAGGAAGCTGATGTGGTTGTATCTGAGCTAGTGCAATCTGGAAAACTTCCTGTGAAAGCCGACTGTGGGCTCAGGTTTTGTCTTAATTCAGTTGTTAGTTGCTGGTTAAAGCAGTTTAACTTGGTTTAAGCATCCTCAAGAGCCGCCTGCACTGGTTGAACTGCGCTTGCTGGGTGTTCTCCCCTGCTGAGCCGAGAATACGTCCAGAAGCAGCTCAGGGAGTCGGGACCCTTATGTGAATTTTGCAACTGAAGTTGTGTCGGATACTTGCGCAGCTCGGGAGCAGCTGGGAATAGAGGGGAGGCGCTTCTGGAAGTGGCTTGAGCTCTGAGCTGTGGTGTCTGAGTTAACACTGTTCACGGAGATGTCTCAGGGTGGTTGGTTTGTTTTTCTCCAACTGCTTGCAATAACATGCATGGTTTAACAGGAGAGGAAATTACCACATATGCTTGTACTGGGGGATGAGTCCTCTGAGCTATACCCAGTCTGAGGAACCATCTCCACCTTCTGTACTCCCTATAGACAAGCCAGGACATGGTTTTACACAGGAGCAGGGTGACTGAGACCCTGTGCTGCTGCCTGCATCCAGACAGCTCCGAGCTGCTGATAAGTCACAAGACGGTAAAAGAGTGGCCAAAAAAGTTATTCAGAGGCTGGGAGGAAAGACTCTGATCAATAACTGCGTCTCTCTGGCTAAAGGAGGTGGAGAGGAGCTCCTGGGAGCATCCAGAGGGAGCACACACAGGGAGGGACAAGTTGTTCCCTATGGAATAACTGGGAGTAACGGGATGAAAATAAACAAAATGACACTAAAAGCAGGTTCTGGGAAACCTTTTCAGGCAGGAGAAATCTGCTTTATCTGGGAGGAGTCTGGCTCTTGAGCCCTGTCATTTAAAACAAGGCTGTACAGCTCCCTAGAGCACGCTCCGGAACGCATAAGGCTGCCTTTGGCCTTGCCAAGAGAAAAGAGACTGGATGTAGAGGTGGGAAATGCTGGTTCTGCATGATAGGT